TGATTTCGCTCAAATGAAAATTGATTTCAAAGTAACGAAAACTAATTTCTCACAAACGAAATTTGATTTCTCATTTTTGAAAATGAATTTCAAACTGACTATAATTAATAGTAATTTTTCAAATATTTATTATTTTAATTTGAAAAAAACATCGACAAATGTTATTTATTTCACCCTAATGAAATAAACCCACTGCGTTCACATAACATAAAATACAATGGGTGATTCGTCGGTTAGGACAAAAAAAAAAACATAAAAGGCTTGTCAAGTCTTTGCCAACGTTTTGCCCAAAAGTTTAGGGCTTCATCAGAGCTAAAATATATATTAGGAACATCAAAAAAGTGCTAACAAAAAACTGAAGTTTACATGCCTTGTACTTGAAAAATTATGTGGCTAGAATTGTATAAAATAGTGCGAGATTTTTCAGGATGAAACATTCAATTGCACATAACAAAATCACATAACATTGATAAAATTGTAAAAAGACAAATTTTTTATTATTATTTTTTTATCTTAACAGACGAATCACCCCCTTCATTGGATACCGATAGGACACGAAGTTCACTTAGATAAAATATAATCATGAAACAATTAACAATAATATTATAAATTATTTAAATAAATTGAACTTCAGTTGAATCTTCTCACTCTTGAGATAGCTGCATTATACCTTTCCACGTGATTTGCTAAACAGAAGTTTAATTTATTTAAATAATTCATAATTATTATTATTGTTTCATGATTGTATTTTATGTTATCTAAACCACAGTTTTCTAAACTCAGTGGGATTATTTCAGTAGGTTGAAATAAATAACGTTGTTGATGTTTTTTCAAATTGAAATAATAAATATTTGAAAAATAAGTATTAATAAGGGGCAGTTTGAAATTCATTTTCAAAAATGTGAAATCAAATTTCGTTTGTGAGAAATTAGTTTTCGTTACTTTGAAATCAATTTTCATTTGAGCGAAATTAGATTTCACTGATGTGAATTTAGTTTTCATGAATTTGAAATCAAATTTCACTAGTGTGAAATAATCCTGGAAATGGTATAGAAATGCAAAAATTAACCTTGCGGCACTGCACACCACTATAAACTGACAAAACACTATGCATATACCCCCGAAACGTCTGGGAGCAGTGCGAAGTCACACGTAGTGGACATCGCGTCACTTCGCCTTCCTTTGCTTCGTGCCAGTTTACCGACAATCGGCGGGAAAATGACGAAGGACGAATATTCGCCAAAGTTACCCTCCCAGACGCTACGCGAATAAACCCGAATAACGAATATTCGCCGAATACACGTAGTGTCTGGGACCGGCTTAAGAGTCTTAAACATTTATAAAAACTATTTTCAATATGCATATTTAAATCAATTTTTTGATCAAACACAACCCCTAGATCCTTAATTTTGTTGACACTAATTAGATCTACATTGAATAATTATTGAAAATGATAGAGTTATCTAACCTAAAAAATCGCATTATATGGCACTTATTTATGTTAAGATGAAGACAATAATTATTAGAACACCATGACTGGATTTTATCCAAATCTTGCTGGACCTTTAATAATTGGGGAGACGACCGCATTTTTCCTGCCCCGATCGAGTTATGTGTCGACACTATTATCAATATACAGGGTAGGGTACGAAAAACTTCCCATCCAGGTTTTCTCAGGTGTTAGGTGATTAATTAAAAATCGCTCGAACACGTCAATTTTTGTTTTTTGGGGGACACATTTTATTGGTATTTTCACCCCCTACCTGTCAACCCCTAAGTGAGGGTGACAGGTACCCCCAAAATTTCAAATGAAAAGGGGGGTCGAGTGATACGTCATTTGATAGCTATTTACATTAAGATTATATCCCCGAAGTTTTAAGTTGCTACTATTTACCCTGTCGAAATGGCGGCTTGTCAAAGTTAGGAAAAATCAATGGAAAAAAGCTGTGTGGTTTTTACCTGTTACCTACGCATAGGTGTGACAGGTAGAAACTATACAGTTTAGAATATTATCTAAAAAATAGTTATTTATGATATAAGTGTTAAAAGTACATTTTTAAGGCACGCATGTGAAAGTTTGCAGAATGAGCGAAGCGAATTCTGCAATTCACATAAGTGCCTTAAAAATACTTTTAACACAAATATCATACAATATTTTTTCTACAAACGGCATTAACCAGTAACAAATTGAATTTTTAGAATGAATAATTGATTGGGAGCATCTTTCCTACATAATATTATTGAATTTGACATTTGTCAAAAAATCCAAACAACCAGCACCTTGTTTTACAGGTAATGAAATGTCTTGTCAGTTTCTTGAAAGTCTGTCGTGGTCAGTAATGCTCTTTGCTAAAAATGCAACAAAATACAGAAGAAAAAGAGGATTGCATCGATCCCTTGAAAAATATAGATGAGGCGGCCAATCAGGCTACCTCATTTGTTCAAATTTCACCATGAATATCAATGTAAATAACTAAAAATACAAACTTTTTTTGACGTTCGCTCTCAAAATTTGATGTTTCATTTTTAACACTAGTGCTATAAAGACTTTATGGCACTAGTGCGATAAAGTAACATTTTTAATGCTACGGGAGGGTGTTAAAAATTGCATTTTTAACACGTTTGTAGAAAAAAGCATTTTTCTACAAACGTCACTAAAAGTGTAATTTTCAACGTATGCTGTCAGTGTCTAAAATGTCATTTTATGACACTGGTGTTAAAAGTGACTACTTTTAGCACTAGTGCTAAAAGTAATCACTTTTAGTGCGTTTGTAGAAAAAATAGTGTATGATATTCGTGCTAAAAGTGATTTTATTTTGTTCAAACAATACCAATAACCGTGCCCCACCCTGTATAGTATTATGTGCATCTATTATCCGGTATTCCTGCCTGAGAACAAATGCTGCCGGAAATATCTTTTAACAAATTATTAACAAATTGAAAAAAACGTAACACTACTCCCATCGAGTTATGCCCTAAGTAGGGTATCAGATTAAAGGTCTGGATGTCCTCTATCTAAAAAGTCGATCCTGCCTCGTGAGAACTTGCCGGAAAAAGGTGGCAGGACAGCTTATTGGGGCAAGGGCCCGCGGTCACAGCTTTGACACCTATCAAGTTTTGCCCTGAATGATGTGTCAAATTAAAGGTGTCAATAAGTTGATTTAAGGTCTCTTCGCACAGAAGTCTCTGACAGTTTGCAAACTGTCAGTAAGCATCGCCCATACATGTTTACAATGCTTTCGTTACAAGATAAATCTGTAACTCAGCTGAGCGATTGTTTCTGACAGGTTGCAAACTGTCAGAGACTCATGTGGGAACAGACCTTTTAAGTCTCTTCGCACAGAAATCCCAAACCAAGAGTGAACTTCATTGGTTGAAACTAGTTTCCTGATTGTTTCCAACCAATGAAATTCGCTCTGACTGGTTTGTGTCGTCATCGGCAAGAAGCAGAAAATGGGTATTTGTCATGCGTTGGGAAAGGTCATTAATGAATAAATTAAAAAGTAATGCAGAGAGGTGACCACCTTGTGGCACACCTGAAGAAACTTTGATGGAAAAAGACTGACAACCATTATTAGACCCTATCTGATGTCTTCTAGAAAGGTGGCTCTCCAACCACTGATGAAATGAACCAAAACCCCCCATACTGCGACAACAATATTTTATGACTAACCCTATCAAAGACCTTGGAAAAGTCTGTGTAGATTGCATCAACCTGACGCAGATCCTCCAAAGCCCCATGATATACTATACCCAGTATACTCCAATAAGTTACTAATGATACATCTTCCATTAACGAAACCATGTTGATTTTGGCAAATTAAAGGTTTAATAAGCGGAGTTAGTTTGTTTGTCACTATTTCTTCAAATATTCTACCAAATAAACTTTTTTTGGTTATACAACTCACTGTACATTATTCCCATATGACACGAGAGCATTAAAAAGTGATAAGCCTTTTGGGATTATCACGCTTGGTGTATTAAAGTTATTCAACTCACTGTACATTATTCCCATATGACACGAGAGTCTTAATAAGTGATAAGCGTATTGGGATTATCGCGCTTGGTGTATTAAAGTTTAGTTCGTTGTATAACCTTTTGAATACCACTCGATGTTTCAGGATTACCTAATACTTCTACCTGACACTCAACGCGTAAAAGTATTATCCAGTAATCCTGAAACCTCTTGTAGTAGTAGTAGACCTATTTTTATCACTGAGAAAAAAAAGGGCCGTGAATTCGTAAGCTTAAACGCATTTTGCGCCTCGACCCATCGGAAAACCCCGTCCAAAAATATATGTATTTTGCTTAGAATTACTAACCCTATAATTCTATCCATGTTGTCTGACTGGGAAAATAAGTACCGAAAATCGTCACTGCCTCCTAGACTATAGCTTCAACTTCCTAGCTAGGGGGAGAACAACCTCCCAAATTTGAATAGGGCATAGGGAAATAGACTATTGTTTTAGTGAGAGTAAAAGTGATGAGTAAAGTAATACTCGAAATTGAAGTTTTTTATTAATATTATAAATTAGGTGTACACATGAATTGTAAATTGTGAGTTTTTTTAGTAAGGGAAATGAATTCCTACTAAAACAATAGCCTATTTCCAAGATTTTGACAAGCTGTCATTTCGTAACGGATAAAAATAATGAGACGAAATTCTAGGGTATGACACGACTCCTATCCCCTATTCAAATTTGGGGGGTTGTTCTTCCCCTAGCTAGGGGGGTTGAAGCTACGGGGATGAAAATAACTGACTGTCCTGGAGCCGGCTTAGTAGTTTTTAGTAAAAGGTCTTCTCCATTTCAACATTATCAGTAGTATACGTATATTGTTCGCATTCACCTCATTCTAGCTCTTATTCCATTTGTACATTCACTATGTGCTGTTTATATTGCAGTTTGTAGAAAATTATTTACATAATTGAATAAGCTCCTTCGCATCATCATTCACAACATTTATTGATTGATCTTGATTAAATATTTAAATATTTTCAGGTAATGTAGGTGTCAACGAATTATTATCCACCCTAATCGAATGTGTGGAAGTATATAGTGAGCATCAAAGTGTTGAAGTGAAAGAAGAAGCAGAAAGGGCAGAAAGGGAGTTTGTCAAGTGGGAACAAGATGAGGCATACAAGGCAAGTTTAGAAGCAGATAGAAAAAAAGAGGAAACACGACTAAAACTAGAAAGAGAGGAAAAAGAAACTAAAACCAGGATAGCGAATCAAGTAGCGGAATCGGCAGCCAAGAGAGAAGCGCACAGACAAGAAGTGGAAAGTAGGTTACCACAAGAGCCTCCTTTGGGTAAAGGAGAACAGACTAAAATTAGATTTAGGTTACCGAAAGGAGAAAATGTTGAGCGAAGATTTACTGCAGAAACCCCATTAAGTGTTTTGCTAGATTTTCTTATTGTAAAAGGATACCCAACTGATGAATATAAGGTTATCTCAAGTTGGCCTCGAAGAGATGTAAGATTTCTGTTTGCGGCATTATTTAATTTTATTAATTATCTTTTGTTGCAGTTGACTTCACTCGATACACGACAAACACTCAAAGAATTAAAGCTGTGTCCACAAGAAACTGTGATATTAGAGGAACGTTAATTATTTTTTTTTGGCTTTGTAATTTTTTTCAATCAACAAAACCGAAAAGGAGAAATTTTTCTATAGCAGCATTTAATTCTCTTCTTTACAAATGTATAGTTAGTTTAATAAATTTTGATTTAATTAGTAGTATTACTCAATTTAATTAAGGTAATCTTTAAGTATACTCGTATTATTTGATGTATGGAGTGTTTTATTTAAATTTCCCCAGTAATAAAATTTTTGAAATATCAAATATTTGTATTGTATCTTTTGAAATGCAGTTAATAGGCAAGGATAATGACAACTGGTGTATCGCCATTGCCGACGTCAGTAAGTAAGTCGTCAGCTGTTTGTGCCAGCGGTCCTAGTTTAGAATTTAAATTTATGATGAAAAATATCATTTAAATTTGATTAACATAATAGGCAAAAAGGGAGATGCAAACGAGATCTAAAAAGGAGATGTTTTAGGATGTTAATCAATGTAGTAAAACTTACCTCAATGAGTAAAACCAAGCATGCATAAAGCAAAAGCCTGCGGAATCATAATCTGTGATGGAAACAACCTACATAAAGGAGAGAAACGACATACTGCCTACGTCATAACTGGTGATTTGGCGTGATGGGGGGCTTCAGATTTGTTCTACACAGGCCTTAGGCGGATAGACTTTTCTGTAGTAGTAAGTAGTAGTGTGTATCATCCTTGAGTTTAGCCAACCTATTAACCAAAGATAATACACACTACTACTGAAGGATAGCCTATCCCCTTAACGCCTGTTTAGAGTAGAACAAATCTGAAGCTCCCCCACCACGTCAAATCACCAGTTGTGACGTAGGCAGCATGTCTCTTCTCGCCTTGACGTTGGCTGTCTGCAAGGATAATACACACTGCTAAGGATTGCTTATCGGCCTCGTTTTTGGTAATCGTCGCCATATTGGTGTGTCACCATATCCGACGTCATTAACTAAGTCGTCAGTTGTTTGCACTAGTGGTCGTAGTTTAGAATTTAAATTTATTAAGAAAATTATTATTCAATTTTGATTAACAAAAAGCCGATTAAACGCGATGGAATATCGATAACCACGGTTATATCTTTGGTCAGTCCTTGGGTTATTCTTGAAACAGCGATTGTCGACCCTTTATGTGATTTAGGGCGGGTATTATAAAACTGCTTTGACAGTTAACTTGAAGTTAACTTTATGAATTACATGTAATTCCAGAAGTTAACTTTAAGTTAACTCTCAAAGCAGTTTTATAATAGAGAGATATTGCCAATCACAATACCGCATGCATTACGATATTTACGCCGCGCTATTACATAACGTCAAGCTATAAATAAATGCTGAAAATGAAACTTATTGCCACGTTATTTCTATAATTAGCGCTGCGCTCATGTAGAAGTCAAAATGTCAAATGTTTCGATACAACCTATAACCTGACTTTTTTGTTTATTTTGTTTGTTGATTTTTGATTCAGAAATCAGATTTCAAAAAAAAGTAGTTAATTGAAAAACTGTGATAGAGGTACCTACATACCTTATGATGGAGGAAGATCTTGAGGCGGTGATCTTAGCTGGGGCTAACGAGAATGCTATTGAGTATGTGATTTTGCACCATATACTAGGAGTGGAGCAAAACCAAGGAGAAGTCCTTCAAAACCCTAATATTAATATTGAATTTGATTTGGATAATATGCAGGAAGAAGATGTGAAAAATAATTTTCGATTTGAGAGGCAAGATATCTATAGATTGGCAGAAGCTCTAAGAATCCCTCAAGCAATTCATACTTCAACCCGTAATTCTGTTAGAGGTTAGTGTTATTCATTTCAAGATTCCAGGGCTGGAACTCAATATCTCTATCTCTAACCTCTTCGGTCCGTCTTTTGGCTTTATTGGACCCACCGAGGGAACACCAACACCAGTTCCAAGGGACATTTTGTTTAAAATAATAAATACAAACCAAACAAGCTGCCACAAAACACAAACTCAGAAGTGAGAACTTGAGTTGGCACCCAAAACCCTAACCCATAACACAAAGAAATAAATAATAAACAAAAATCCTAACCTCTCCAGAGAAAAATCGAAGTAGGAGTTGTCAGTTGTCATGTCAATATTGTGCGGTATTTTGAATAGCGCCCAACGGTACGTAAGCATAAATAACCCGAAGCGCTAACCCTAATAGCGGAAGACACGTAAAAAAGCGAATCGCGCATCCAATAAACGTCAAAATACCGTAAGCGTTATTAGCGCATGACGTTTTTTGTCGAGCAATATCTCTCCAATACCCGCCCTAACCTGAGAGAGCTCGCGTTAATAGGTGGGTTCGGCTTGCTCACTCCGTGCACTCCGAGTGACCCCATTCGCTCTCCAGCCGTTCGGGTTAACGTTCGGGTATTGCTTTTTACCGTATTAGGGGTGACTCCATTAGCTCTGTTCACTCCACTCCAACTTCGCGCTGAATAGCCGAACCCAGCTTATGCTATGGTTATTTCATTAACCCTTTTTTTTTTGTTTATTTCGTTCTGTTCTGTCTTGTGATTGTTTTTTGTTGAATTTTTACCTGAAGTAGAGTACATAATTATTATTTCTATTGGCGTTTCCGATTGGTAGATTCAGTGCGCACTGAGTGTATTTGTATCCTTTTAATCGACCTGTAGAAGAAAAAGACAGAAATAGAAAAAATTGCACTAGTTCCGCACTAGATCTACCAATCGGAAACGCCATATATTTGATGAAGTTTACTCTTTAGTTTTGTGTTGACCTAGATCAAATCTCAAAGATTTTTCGATTAGTACGAAGTTCATTTTTTGGAGTTGCACAAAAAAACACAACACACAAAACGCAACAGAACAACGAAAAACCCGTCCAAATCCCGCTATTTCGGGTATTTCTCCTTTATTTACTTTTTCAGCCAAGGATAGAAGTGATAGAACAACTCCAAAGGTAGGCTAAAAATGGTTGAACCAAAGATAAAAACAGCTGATTTAATACGTCACAAAGGGCCAAATGATGACGTCACTACGGAATGATCAAAACCGCGTTTACGTGAATGGTAATACCATTTTCGACCCGATTATTAATATTCCATCGCGTTTAATCGGCTATAATAGGCAAAGAGGAAGATGAAAAAGAGATCTAAAAAAGAATCTTTTTATTTATGGTGTAAAACCAAGTATGAATAAAGCAAATGCTCGCGGAATCATAACTTGTGGTGCAAACAGCCTACGTCAAGGCGAGAAACGACATGCTGGCTACGTCACAACTGATGATTTGGCATAGTGGGGGGCTTCAAATTTGTTCCACACAGGCCTTAAGCTTCATTCTCAGTTGAGCGAAATTCGCTCTTTTTTGGATATTGCTTCGACAATTTGACGTTTTATGCGTGTATCAAACGTCAAAGTGTCGAATCAATGTCAAAAAAAAAAGCGAATTTCGCGCAGCTGAGGGCCGGTTTCTCAATAGCGAGTCACCTTCGGGTTAAGCATAACTCTGATAACAACTGGACACGCTTAGCCTGGAGTTAAAACCAACCCGGAGGTGACTCGCTATTTGAGCTGGGTTCGGCTATTCAGCGCGGAGTTGGAGTGGACTGAACAGAGCTAATGGAGTCACCCCTAATACGATAAAATCCATACCCGAACCTTAACCCGAACGGCTGGAGTGTGAATGGAGTTACTCGGAGTGAGCAAGCCGAACCCACCTTTGAGAAAGCGGCCCTGAGAATGAAGCTTAAAGCCTAGTACTCATAACCGCGAATTGCGGATTTTTATTTTGCGGATTTTTTCCTATTGGTCGATTATATTTAAATTTGACAGGTTTAAATATATTCGACCAGGAGGATAGGCTATCTTGTAGTAGTAGTGTATATTATCTGTTCCGGTTAGTAGGTATTTAATGAAAAAGAAAATCAAGAGCTGGAGAAGAAAAAACAAAACAGAAGTAACCAAGCAAATAAAAAACAAGTAGACGTCACCGTGACGTCACCTTTTTGAAAAAATAGAAAAAGTTTGAGACACGTTTGTCAATTTGCTCGCTGCCACGCATTTTTTTATATTATTTTTTTTTTTAATAAAACATTTAAGAAGCTCGTCTGCAGTCCACTGTTTTCCCTGAGCACAGGGTGGTCCTTCGCCACTTGAAATACACGCTAAAACAAAAGATTATCCTTGAGCTGTTTGCACCACAGGTAATGATTCCGCGGGCTTTTGCTTTATGCATACTTGGTTTTACTACATAAATTAACATTCTTAAAACAACTCCTTTTTAGATCTCGTTTGCATATTCCTCTTTGCCTATTATAATCAAAATAAGTTTTAAAAAAAATTCATCATAAATGTATATTCTTAACTACGACCGCTGACGCAAGCCGCTAACGACACCGTTGATGACGTCGGCAATGGTGATACACTAATATGGTCGCGATTACAGCTTAGATTACAGCCGTGCCGAAGCCGATAAGCAACAAGGATAATACACTACTACTACAGTACAAACTACAGGATAACCTATCCTCATAATGCCTCATTCTCACTTGTGCGAAATTCGCTCTTTTTTTGACATTACTTCGACAATTTGACGTTAAAGCCTGTGTGGAACAAATCCCCCCTTCCACCCCCACCCCCTTGCCAAATTACCAGTTGTGACGTAGGCAGCATGTCTTTTTGCGCGAAATTCGCTCTTTATGACATTGCTTCGACAATTTGACGTTAGGGCCTGTGTGGAACAAGTCCCCCCTTTTACCCCCCACCCCCTTGCCAAATTACCAGTTGTGACGTAGGCAGCATGTTATTTCTCGCCTTGACTAGGCTGTTTAAACAGCTGACGACTTAGTTACAATTGGCCATTGGGCCCATAGCACCGTCTAAAGTGTGTTTTTTTTTTAAAGATAATTCCCCAAGTCAAAAATTTAGTAACTATGTTGGCAACACAAGCCTTTTCTACATAAAAAAAAGTCGCGTCCAGTACACGTGATAGAAGTGAATACTTTTTTGAATAGCTAGGGCGTCGCACCGGTGTCACACTCACACTGGGTGTGTGATTCTTGAATTCGCCCCTGTAAGTGTGTATCATCCTTGGATAAGCAATCAGTAGTGTGTATTATCCTTGGATCCAATTAACCGGACCACAATCTGTTTGTTTTTCATTTTTCTCCAATTATTACGATTGAAAAAAGACTAATCACAGCAGAGGCGTTTTCTCGCGTCCCCTTTTTTGAAACAGGTTCAAAACTGTTTATTCTCGCGATAAACCCATGACGT